TGGGGGGGGGGGGGCTCTATCTGACTTGTTGCAGCTTCTAATGCATGCTGTAAAAAGCTTACAGTGTGCAGGGAAATCATAGTAAGGGATTTCAGTACAGGAGAGGCTGGAGTTCAACTTTATAATGAATATGGAGTAAATATGACCACTAAGAAGGCACATTATTGGGAATCCCAGCTGCATTATTAAGGCACACTCCTAACTGCCAAAACTAAATTATAAATGACAAAACGATCGCATTGAACCGCTATACATCTCCAGAACTGAAGCACACAGAGTACATCAAACACAGATAAACAGCATTAAAGTGTCACTTTTTTTGATAAATGCTGTATGGTATTGTTTGTATGTAATGAGCAAAACACAAAACATTCTTACCACCTGTAAAATTCAAGATTCTGCCAAATACTACCATCTCTCACACAAATCACATATCATTTCATAACACTTACAAAGTACTCTCCTTTAATCCCTTCATGACCAGTGACGCACAGTGTACGTCACTTGCATCGGGGACGTTAAATGCTGCCCCTCTTACGGGGCCCGGGACCGGCTTCACTGATGTCAGGGGTAAAGTTGGGGAGGAGATCGGCGAACGTCCGTTCATTCAGTGATTACATCAAGTCCCAAAGCCGTCAGTGCTGGGCTCCTGAAGCCCAGCAATAAGCTATTGAAGTGCGATCAACAGCTTATTTCAAGTGTAAAAGGTGACACAAGGGGTCTTTTGGATACCCCAATATCACCTTACAGAGGACCTGTCACCACTAATCTGCTATCACATGGGGGGCATGTAAGCTCCCGTATGTGATGGCAATTAAAGTTAAGAAATAACAGTTTTAAAATTAATATTAAATAAAATAAATGTAAAAATAAGAATTTTTTTTTTTTTAAAGTCCCCCGCGAGCAGGCACGTCTTCCCTTAAACACGCGTCCGATGCACCTACATATGAAAACGATGATCGCGCTACAAATGTTAAGTATCGCCGTGCACGCCGGAGTGAGAGCAATCATTTTAGGGCCAATATTTACACGTTTCTCTAAACTGATGACCTGTGAGGTCTTTTAAAGCCTTGTCTATGGACTTTTTGGGGTACTGAAATTTGTTGCAGTTTCGCGGACGCACACAATTTTCAACCTGGGCATGTAGGATATTTACTCGCCGTAACCTCATCTTTGATATTTTATAAAAACAATGGGTATTTTATTGTATTTTGAGGCATTTGAGTGCATTTTTCACTAAATGTTGGGGTTTGATAAAGGAGTTGCGCTAATATCGTGCAACATAAAACATTTGCAACTGCCACCATTTTATTCTATAGGATCTTGGCTTTCAGAAAATATATAACGTTTTGGGGTTTTAAGTCATTTTCAGGCTTAAAATGTGGATTATAACATGTAAACAAAAAATGGGAAAAAAAGGCCTAGGTCACGAGGGGGTTAACCACTCATTAGGTATTACAACTGACTATGATTCCCCTTGAGACAGAAGCTGAGGTGATGCAAGCCCTCATCAGCCATTACCACAAAAATCCAAACTGCACTTACAGTGGGGGATTTGCTTTTGTAGTGGCTAGCGTGTTGTTGTAAAATATCAAGCGCCTTCGATTCAGAGGTGGGTTTACAGCTTGGGCTGGCTCGTGATTTCTCAGATTCTTCGCTTCCAGAAACCTTGTTGCCATATGGGGAGAAAGGATAGCTGGGGGAGAGATAAGATCCTAAAAATGGGAAAGAAAAACATAAAAGTATAAAATGACGGTTACATTTTAACACCAAATCAAAGTTTCCCAGATTATACTAATAGTTTTCTAGGCATTTGTCAAAAATGTCCATCTCCAAAAAAATGTCAAATATCAGCAATCACAAGAGCAATGTACACTCCTCTAAATCAGATCTGCTGCATTAAAGGAGATTTACGCTTTCATCAAACCTCTTTACTACATAGACTAGATCCTAGTGACCTCTGGGATTTTATTTGGGCGATTCAGTGACATGCTGGCTGCTCTCTAGATATGTTTGATACCATTCAGTGCCTTCAAATTACACTATTCTTACAACTATCACCCGTCATACAGTTACACAGGCAGATCGGTATACCGGAAGGGTGAAAAAGCTATAATAGTGGGAATTGCAAGCGTAACCTCAACTGATGGCCAAAAACAGGAAATTAGGAGTTTCTAAGTTACTGCTAAGAAAATGAAATAAAAAAATAAAGCTGCAGGTGTAAGAGTGTAAGCTTTTTTCACTACTCATTCTTTGTCTGAATGGTAAGACTTTCTGATCAGGAAAGCTCACTTCACATGACAGAGCTGGGTCGATGAGCGATGCCACATGGGGAGTTCATAAACTATATAAGCTACAACCCCTGAGACTTGCAGCTTACACTGGGCTTTCCTTTACTACTGAAAGCTAAAAGAGTGGTGGTTAGTAAATGGAAGGCACGTGTATATGGCAAGGGAGGGCTGCCTTAAAGTGAACCTGTTAATATGTCATACATGGCCATTCATTTTCTTAAAAGCAACCATCCCTGGAATTCGTAGAGCGTCATATTCATAGACCTTTTGGAAACCAGTACATGAATATGGCACAAGCACCGACATTTGTGGTGTTGAGGTGCACTGAGGCTGGAGTGTCTATACCAGAGACTCCATCCTCAGGGCAGCTTAGTAACACTGAGCCTGATAAAATCACATGCTCAGCATCATTGAGCTCGGCCCGACCACTGCACCCGTCACATATGAAGATGCAGCAGAAGAGGACTTATGCTGTGGGTGGGAGGAGTCTGATGGGGAACTCAGAGACTAGTTCCTCATCAGGTCATATTTGGGTAATGTCAACCAGCATCCCCGGGGCCCTTTGTTTACATTCAGCTGCCGAGTGGGGAATCTCCCACGGGCCGCAGCCGAATGGGGCCAGAGATACGTAATTGGCTGCTTGTTGGGATGCCAATGACCCAGTGTCCTAGCAACCAATGATCCATGAGCAGGAAACGGTCACATTCATGAAAGCTTCCCAGCACATATATATCCTACTCTGAGCACTGGTGTCTCTGTGCGCCAGATCAGAGTTGATCTTAACTACTGCCAGTTTCCTAAACCTTTAAAATGGTGGTAATTTTTTAAAAATCTGTCGCAGCCATAGCGCCAAGTTATTAAAATGTTGGTAATAAGAACTACCTGAATCTTTTTAGGATGTCAGAATTGCAACCGAAACTGTTGCAAGGCTTTCACAAATTAGGCACAGGTTGTTTTAAAGGGACAATACAGCCAGAAAAATGCTATACATGCTTTATTGAAATTCCCTCCACAGAGGGCAAGGGCCCCACCACTGGACCTGTTGGCAGGGGGGAGGCTTTAATACTCGGGGGGCGTTGCTTTAGGAAAAAAAAAATGCAATAATTTTACTACAAAAATTTACATATGCCGTATGTCTTTAAACAGAAGTGATGAATGCCCAACTCTGTTGTACTGCAGCACTGTTTGTTTCTGGTAATGGCTCAGTTCACAAACACTGTGTACAGAGCCAATCCAAGTGGCTCAGTACCCTGGAATCGTTGCTGTTGGTCATAGAGAGCCCAATAACTATGATCACAGATGTAAACAACGGGAGGATTGGAAAAAGGAACTAATAAATGAATGAGTAATTCATTACTTTCCATCACTGTACAGATCAGGGCAGCAGCTGTAAGTAACAGTGATCTGTATATTAACCTTTTACCTCCCTTATCCTGCACATCATCCCCTTAAAATCTATCTTCCCACTGCATGTGGCTTACATCCCCCTCTCTGTGTATGATCTTTATGTCCTGTATGAAGTGCACCATAACCAAGCTCCGTATTCTAATCCCCTCAATACCAGCATGATTTATCATTTCCAAAAAATGTGGCAAAAATTAGATCAGTTTGCGTTGTGTACTGCCCAAAAAAGGGTACTTTTGGGGGTGTACACACTGCCCAAGCATTTTGGATATATATATATATATGTATGTAAAGAAACCCATTGGTTATTAAAACCAACCACAAGAAAGCTATTCCAAAAAAATTATATAAACTCGGTACAATGTTGCAAGTCATGGTCAGTGAAAGTATCACAGCACTGAGAACTAAAAAAAAAAAAATGCCTGGTAATACAGGCTGGTACTCAAGTGGTTAAAGCCAAACGTTTCATTTGTAGCTACACCTTTCCAAAGCAACATAAAAAAATCCTACAAACAAAACAGCAGTTAGGGCTACTTTACATGTGTCAGTGTCCTGCTAGAACTTAGCATTGCTGTCAGAAAAACAGAATGGGGCTGTTGGTTTTTTTTCCCCCCCAGAGGCAGTCAGATGTATATGGATGCATGTCCATTTACATCCACCTGCCTGTAGACTGGCATTGAGCTCCCTATCAGTTGTGCCTAAAAACTGACAGGCAGGTCGGAAAAGCTAAGTGGAAGGGGCCCTCGAAACCCACTGAAGCCTGACTAAAGTCTATGGTGTGATCCTTGAGGAACAGTGAGGACTTGTTTTAAATCTTTCAAATGCTTTTTAAGAATATGTAAGCGACGTGCACAGGTTCACTTGAAGTGTAAGATGGCCAAGTACCTGTATCTAGCACCAAAAGTGTCATTTTACTTGTCTGCCAAGTTATTGCACTGAATGAGTGAAGTACTATAGATATGTTTTGCTCTTGCAGGCGGGAGGCCAATTTGCAGAAAATTGTTAATTTCCTGTATGAAAACCAGAAAGGAGCAGTTTCATATTGACGGGGCTCAGCCACCGCTTCTGCACCTGTCTGTCCACTCCTATATCAAGCTGCTGGTTAGGCAGAATAGATGTGGTCATATTAAAGGAGAACTATGAGGTGAGTGTTTTTGACTCACCTCATAGTTCTAGCCGACCTGTGACAATGAGACTGTCACAGGTCTGTTCAGTAGATCGGGAGGTGAGCCAACATATACCGGCGTTCGCTCACCTCTCTATCCTGTCACGGCTCTCTGCCGTGACAGGGGAGGGGCTGGATTCCCCCCTCCCCGCCAGCACTGATTGGCGGAACGGACGGGGGAGGGGGCGGGCCCAGCTGGCTCTTCCTCTAGATAGGCAGAGCCAGCTGTCACTCACGCAGCTGGGCGGATCTCGACATCGATGTAGGCATCCGCTCCGGCGTCTCAGTATACCGCGAGCTGTAGCCGAGCTTAGGGTAACGGGAGGACGCTAGTTTGTGTCCTCCCGTTACCCTGAGAACTATGGGGAAAAGCCCTGACCCCATAGTTCTCCTTTAAAGACAAATGCTTTTCATAAATTAAATACAGACACAATTTTGTTGACCAACCAATGCATGTAAAATAGAGCATATGGCCTCTAAAGTGTGTTCATCATTCAGAAAACAGATTCCACATCAAGATTAGAAATAAGCTAATCCACTTAGACACAGTGGATTGAATGGCTTAGAAAGTGCCCTTACATTGAAGTTTGTGAACCCTAAAAGGAGCCCAAAGCCTACTGTCCATTAACTATTTGGGGGGATTGAGACGTGTTCTAGTAAATTGCTGTGCGATTAATACTGGCCTACTTTGCTTTTCTCCATAAGCTAAACAAAAATATTCATCAAGGGTATTAGAGATGCCCTGCCTGGCACAGATGTCTGAGAGCAGTCAGACTGTGCCTAGATGCCTAACCTCCTTTTAGAGTCAATGGCACATTTCATCAGCTTTTAATTGAAAAACATTTGCACTGTACTAATGTGGCAATCAAATGTGGTTTAATTAACCAAATGATAGAAACAGACATGTAAAGCAGATTTTTAGATCAATCTCCACTGCAATTGTGTCTTTCTTGTTGTAAGGGAGTGGGAAACAGCTGGTAAGGGGCTTCTCTTTTCTTCCTAAGAAAGGACTTATTGATGAACAAAGTTTGTAGTTGTCAACATAAAAACGAAGATAAAGAAAGGTGACAACTGAACTGAAGAGGAAGTGAAATGTACCAGAAAAATAAAGACACTGAAATGTGAGACTCCTCCATCAAAAATACTAAAATGTTGCTGGGAGACATTTTGGGTATGTTACTCTAAAATGACTCGAAGTATAAACAGCATTATTCCAACCAAACTGCACTTATAAAGTGTATGTTATGCCCGAGCAAAAAGCATATTACATGTAAGTGTGTGTTCCTAATTTTTATTTTTTTTGTACATCTAGCTCGTTTATTATGCTTCAATACCTCAGAAATACCTGGCTATCCTGCCCATTCCCCCTCTTCCCTTTTTCATACTGACCATACAAAACACAGAGGCGGGTCCATGTTGGTGTGATCAGGTTGTGTCTCACTGCTGCCTCCTTGTAGATACAGGACGCCATGTAGGCGCACAATGTGTCTATCTCCAGCATTCAGTTCATCAGCCACACCCAGCCCCGCTGTGTGATTGACAGCAGTTCACAACAGGAGCCTCTTGTCAAATCAGCAGCTGCTCATACCAAGCAGCGTAGTTGGGGACAACAAGTTTTCATTACAGCTTTTATTAATAAGGATTCCTTTTGTGAACTGTTTATTTTTTTTATGTCAAACTGTCCCCAGAATGTAGAAAGAGGATCTGAAAGAAGGCTAGGCGGTCACATGACTGCCGAATTAAACATCAAATAAGGTACAGAACCTTAATTTTTTATACTACTTCAACTATGGTAAACAAAATCTATTTACTATATTACAATGTGCTCACATGTACTTAAAGTAGTAGTGTGCTCATGTATAGTTATACATGGAATAGCATAAAAGGTCATTAAAATATCAAATCAGGATTAATGATCAATGTGCTGTTACTTTACTCCTGTCAAACCCTGTAATGCAGGGGTGGGCAACACCAGCCCTCCAGCTGTATTTAACTACAAATCCCAACATGCCTCTGTTTCTGCAAGTCAGGCCTGTAATGGTCAGTCTTGCAATGCCTCATGGGACATGGCCCCTGATGGTCCTAATAACTCAGTAGGAGTTCTAACTCTTTTTTTGACCCTGCTTTATCCAATCCTAAAAAAAAAAAAAGTTCTGGCTGACATACTGTACATTTTAAATAGTATGAAGTACGCATAGTTCTAAAAATACTCTGAAAAATAGGAATTTTTCTGTAAACCTATTAATATGCTAACCCAATACCTGGGTAGTTTTGCATCATGACTGCTGGCATTCCACGGAAGCTTGGATGGCTGGGGTCATAAGCTTGACTATAAGTATAGCCATGCATATATGGAATATAGGACTGATGTTGGGTAAGTGGCGATGACACAGGAACATGAGTACTAGTGCGGGGGTCCTTAGGCAGCACACGAAGGTCCTCAGTTTGTGGTCCCTTCGCTTCGACATTAACACCTTCTTTGCTGTCCTCTTTAGAGGAAGCTTCCTTGCTGCGACTCCGTTCTTCCTTGACCTTACGTTCCCTCTCTTCTTTCCATCTTTCATCATCAGCTTTTAAAGCATCTGTGTACTTGGGATAGACATAGGACCACATGCGTGATTCTGCCTCTTGCTGCTACAGATATTGTAAAAAAAAAAAACAAAAACAAAATTATTTTAACATTTTTGTACACTTTTACAACAAATCCTTATATATCTCTTAAAAAAGTAAAATGATTTAGATAGGTAAGTCTGGGTAACATTTAAGTTAGCCGATGCATACAGAGGCGGCTAAATTTGGTCTGGGCATCTATACTTAAATGACCTCGATGCACAACTGAATTATATTTAACTGCTGAAAGCAAACAGGGCTGGTGCAGACCTGGGCGATTCAGTACACAGTTGCACACAGCGGTTGCCGCGTGGCCCCATTGATTTCAATGGGGTTACATCTGCGTGGCAATCGCAGAAAAAAGGTACATGTATCTTTTTTTTGCGACACAACGCGTGGTTGTTTTAACCATGATTGTGTGCGATTGCACGGGTGGAATCAGAGCAGGAAAACCGCACGATTGGTGTGCCATTCGAAAATAATAGCACCACCAGCGTGATTGGCAGTTGTGCAATCCGCGCGGTATCGTGCACAATTGCCGCACGGTCACAGAACTCGCAGGTGTGGACCTATCCTCATGGCAGTCTTACAGCTTGTTCCAACTGCACACTGATTAGGTCTATTGTATGCTTTGTCTTGTAAGCAAGGTTCTTATATGAGGCTGACAGCAATAAGGAACACAGACCTGGTTGGCTGGTATGGCCGGCATTACCTTACAGTCTGCTTTACGTAGCATCATAGGAGGCTAATATAGAGAGAAATACATTATCATCATATATCATGCAGGTGTACATGAGACAATTGCTTTGAATATAATCAGTTTTCGTGTCAATTTAGTTTGTTTTTGATATGATAAATATTTTAAATGCTGTCAATATGTACAGAGATCAGCAAATTTGATGGTACCCTTATGGCTTATTAAAACGATTCATTACGCCTTAAAAGTGATGATGAAAGCAATTGTCTCATGTATACCTTCATGCCTTTGTCTTGGAGTAAAGCAAAGAAAGATAAATTATCGCTTATTCTACATTGATATTCTAAAATGACCCAGACAGATTCGATGGTACCCCTGTAAGAGATTAGAAAGAATTGGATCATGGTAATATATCAAACTGTCTCATGTAATTAGTATCAGGCATATCTTCAATCCTGTAATCAGTAAGTCAGCCTATATATATATATGGAGAAAAGTTGTCACTCTGCTGTTTGTTATTGTCATGTGCACCAAACTGAACATGGATCAGAAAAAGCAAAGAGTTGTCTGAGGAGATAAGAAAATTATAGATAAGCATGTCAAAGTTAAAAGTGCTCACACACCTTACAATTATCTGCAGCTTTTCTGTGGTCAGATGGAAAAAGTGCAACAGATTGGCCCAGGTGGAGATTACTCCATCCACACAGTTTAGTGTAGATGGAGGAACCTGTTGCACCTTTTCCATCTGACCACAGAAAATCTGCAGATAATTGTAAGGTGTATGGCCAGCCTAAAGGCTAAAAATACCATCTCCAAGGAGCATGGTGCTCCTGTGGCTACAGCTGCAAATATTAAGAGGGTTAAAGGTCCATGAGAGTGTAGCCAATCTCCCTCCTCGATGTGGCCACAAGCGGAAACTCAATCCCAGACTGAACAGAATTATAGTGTTAATAGTCCCAGAAACCTACCTTGCGCTACCTTGCTAAAACAAACTGTTGCCCAACACACATTCATTTAATTGGGTACTTTAAAAAATAAGTCCCCAGGCAATATCTGCATGTAAACAGACCACATAACATAAAGACATCATCAGACAAACAACAACCATTTCCGTTTATAGGCTTTCCATGTATCCAACTTAGGAAAAATGTATAAAAGTTGAATATCAGCTAAAACCAGAATCCATTTCCCGAAATATTGCCAAAACACTCATTGGGTACACCTGAAGTCTACCCAACACTTATATTTTAGTTTCACATATCTGCTAAAAAGAAACCATCTGGTATCTGATATAGTTCAGGAAACCTATGGGTGAGATATCTGCACAGAAAGAAGAAAGGGAAGGCAGATGGATCATGTAACAATGCAAGCCTCTTGGCAGCAAGCACTTTGCATGGGATAACATTTCAGTGCTTGTCATCATATATGCTGTAATATTGGGCAGTTCCTGAAAAGCTGCAGTACATCTACACTGTGATAACTGGCCACATTTAAGGATAAAACTAGAAACCTGTTACACGTTTCTCACATACATAGCAAAAAAAATAAAATCCTAAAGACACAAAAATACAAGATGCCTGGAAATAGCAGTGATATTAACCAATGAATCACATGTACAGTTATGTTCTATTGATTAATGCCTGGAACATTAAATTGTCACCATTCAAGTTCTCTGGAACATCAGATTCCTCAACCTCTGGACTAGCAGGATACTAATAGACAAAGCATGTTTCCAGGTCCAATGCATAACCAAAACACATCTATATATAGGTACATCAACTGATGAGAGGTGAAAGTCCTCAACACCAACACTTCTGATATACCACCATAAATGATTCCTGCAAATGCATGTGAGGTGTTACCTTCCCTACTCTACCCAAAACTTAAAAAGATTTGACTAGAGCGTAGTCTAAAACTACTCCAGGCAAATGACTAATTAACCCTTGCAGTGGGGCTACCCCTGTACTGCAAGGGTGAAGTGCTGGTTTTAGTCTAGGTAGGGTCAGAAATAAAGATATACTCACCTGATCTTCGATCCTGCCTAGCCGCTAGACTTGTGCTCGCAGCCTCTCCCCACCAGTAGTCTAATGACCGTGCATTAGATGTAAAAAATAGTGCATTAGATGTGACGACACCAAGGGAGATTCCACCGCCAGAACCAAAAGGAGAGAGACAGAGCCTGCTGGGACCAGTCTAACAGCCAAGGCAGGATCAAGGATTAGGGGAGTATATCTTTATTTTAGACCAAACGGTAGCCCCACTGCAAGGGTTACTTTGTAAAATCCCTGGAATTGTTCTTTAATGAAGCTGGGTAGGTAGAGGGGCAAAAAATGCTACTACAGCTTGATCTAAGGACATAGACAATTAAAGCTTTTAAAAAAAAACATGCATTTGATAACGGTACAAGCTTAAATACCTTACATTACAAAAACATTTCATGAATGCACTTGTGTTGATATTGAAAATAAAAATGAATATTTTCTTACCTGTCTATACCAAAGGACAGGGTCTAGACCAGCCTGCCTATTACATTCGCTTACAGGTTTGGAAGGTTCTGCAGTTTCCTTCCCTGTGTGTCCTCCTCCTTCTGACATTTTTGTTTTTAACATTTCTGGCTGCTGCACTGACATTTTGGCAGATTCCTCAGGCTTTGGAATAATCACAGATTTGCCAGGGTCAGGCCCGGGTCCTAGCTCCTTAGGCTTACTGGAAGAAGACTTCCCTAAATCTGTCAGACTTGGAGCTTTTGTGAGTGTAGGAGGTACTGAAGACTTGTGTTTCCATTCTTCCTTTAGAGAAGCCTCTCTGTCTCTCATGGCCATCTCGTTTTTTTTTTCAAGGCTACGTTGTTGTTGCTGCTGCTGTTGTTGCTGTTGTTGCTGCTGCTGCTGTTGTTGCTGTTGCTGCTGCTGCTGTTGCTGTTCCAGGTTCTGTCTTTGTTTCTGATGCTCCTCATACTGTTGTCTATATGCTGGGTTAGTACTAAGTAGATGGGCATGATAGCCTTGATCAGTGTAGCCATAGGGAGGCACATAGGCATACTGATTATAGTAGAGTGATTGCATGTACATGTTAGGACGCTGCTGAATAACTGAAGGCTGCTGGCTAGTGCTCAGCTCTGGCTTTTTATCTTCCGGTTGCTCAACTTTCATTTTTACTTCAGTAACTTCCAAGTCCTCCTCTTTCTTGACTTTAAGTGGCTGACTTTCTGGTGTAGTCTGACCAGTAGGATTCATGGCACCAGGACCAGGACTGGAATGTGCATAGTTTGGAGAATAATAGGTTTCAAATGTCTGATAGTAAGGGGATTCTTTATTCTGGGGCTGAGGTGGAAAAAGGGACTTTTTGGCACTTTCCTTCACCATCTGCTCTGGATCCTTGACCTTTGTGCCTTCCATTTTGCCTTCCCCATCTTCACCTGCATCAGAAATATCAGAGTAAGCTGGACTGTTCGTTTTAGCTGAAGCCCCTTCTGCCCCATTTTGGGTCACAACATGTAGCGGTGTCATAGGCTGATTGGGACTAGGGTTCTCCATTCGGTTTGAAGTACTTCCTCCTACACCTATAGAGGGACTGGGTGCATTGTCTGTGAAACTATAGATTTTGTCAGCCTCAGCCTTAATACTGGCCAGGCGGCTCTGATGAGCATCAGAGCCATTAAGAAGTCCATCCCCTTTGCTTGAACAATCAGCGACTGCTTCCCCATAAGGACTTTTCCCGTCTTCAGGACGACCAACTTTTATGGAAGTTCCAGGACTTTCTTCATCCCTTTGTTCCTTCTTCTTTTTATCCTTTTTCTTTTTATCTCTTGATGGTGTTAATGCTGGATTAATACTAGATGGCTCTCCCATAACTGTTGGTTTGGGCTGTATGGGCTTAAGTTGTGGGCTAGTAGGCATGGTTTGTACTACTGTGGGAGTGAGGCCAGTTGAAGATCCAGGACTTGAAGCGGTAAAATTGGTCGCCTGAATAGTATACATCTGTTGTGGAACTATAGCAGGTGCAATGGGACGTGTAGACTTAACACTTTTTGATGAAGCCAATTTATCTTGTTTGTTATTCCCATTTCCTTTCTTTGCATCTTTTTCACCCATTCGCTTCTCTTGTGACTCAAAACCATCATTGCTTGTATCATCCGCCGCCATGGGGCCTTCATCTGACCCATCATTAGAAAGTGCTCCGGGGTCAGTGTCACCTTCAGTGCCCATTTTCTTTTTGCATAAACCTTTACTTCCGAGCTTGGAAGAAAGTGTAGGACTTGGTGGTTCAGTCAAACGAGTCTTAGGTGTGGCAGATCTGGCAGGGGAAAGAGAACCCTTCTGAGAAGGAAAAGTACCATTGCAGCCACCCAAGTCAAGGTGGAGATGAGGCTCCTCCCCACACTCACTATCTCCATCTGCCTCTGGCTTACTGTCATCATCTGTGTGTGCATGGGCCTGATGGTATTTCAGGCCATTAATGTGCTTGTATTTCTTGTTACAGTTGGGGTGTGGGCAGTCTATTAATATCGGTGAAGAACAATTCCTATCCAGTGCAGCTGGCTCTACCTTGATAGTGCTTAATGGTACTGTTAAAGGCAAGGATCCAGACAATGGGGCAGACGAAGATCCCATAGAATTTGTGCGAGCACGTTTACTCCCTTTGGAATCTTCTGAGCTTGAAGTCAGTTCAATGTCAGATGGGGGCTTGCTTTTTCGCTTGCTAGCGGATGAGGGACTAGCTTTTATATCCTCCGACGTATTACAAGGTGGTTGACGATGATCTCCTGAATTCTGGCTTCCACGTCTCCCTTTGTTGTTTGCTCCAGCACGCGTCTTGCTGCTACTACTGCTGCTACTGCTTGCACCTTTACCATCAACAGCTGGTGTGCCTTCTGCAATGGGAGCGTTGCTACTTGGACGCATGCGTTTACCCCTCCCCCGTCCATTCCGCATCTCCAAGTCACTGGTGGGAGAGTCGCAGAATCTGGAGGGGGAAGGAAAAAGAAAGGGAGCGTGAGGAATTTCATTTTTAAGAGCAAAAATGTACATTTTGAGAATTTGCTACATAGATATGCCACAACACAAACTTACCTAGGTGGTGCCCAATCATGCCGTGTGCAATCCAGCAGTGTGCCAACATAGGTCTTGTTTCTCCAAGTCACATTTACTACCAGCATTCCTAGAACGTAAAGAAAATACATTTAGTGGTAAGAAAAGTAATGTTAAAAAAACAAAACCTCAGCAGAATGTTGAAAATGTAAGATCAGGGGTGTGGAAATCCTATTGCCCGACACCTGGGACATGCAGTTGCAGGCGCCGGGCAAGTCAGCTGCCTTTCTCCCCGCCGGCCCACACGCTCCCCGCCATGGTTTTTAGGGTTCCCCACTCTTCTGGGAAACCAGGGACCACGACGAACTAGTTCAGGATGGAGTGGGGAGCAGAGCGGAGAACCTTCGTCTTCATTCTCCGGTCTGCTCTGTGTGAACACAGAGAGGAACACTGTACTCGCAGCCTTCCTGTCTCAGCTGCCACTCCTGTATTGGAAGAGACAGGTTCAACAATAAAGAGAACCGGTCACCTCCTAATGCTAACATACAGGGGCTTGTTAGCCCCTGTCTGACGGCAATAAAGTCAAGTGGAAAAAAATTACAAAAAATAAAAAAAGATAGTTTTTTAAAAACATTTCCACACCCCTGAAGATGTCTGCACATCACATCTCTCCGATTATACAATGGCCTCTAAACTAGGTGGCCTTTAAATCCATCATACCAATATTACACTGTATGGAGTAGGAAATATGTACTGATCAACAAAAAAAAAATCAAAAGCAAAACAAATTTTGTGTTATTAGTGCAGCTTTTTAGAAAGAAAGACTTACACTATGTTAAAGGAGAATTATCACTCAGACTCATAATTTGAGCTGACCTGTGGCAATGAAACTGTCAGGTCGACTCAGTAGATCGGGAAGTGAGCGAACACATACCATCGCTCGCTCACTTCTCGATCTATCCCTGCAGAGAGCCGTGACTGTCACTCATGGCTCCCTGCAGGGATTCCCCCCTCCCCTGTCCGATCCTCCAGCCCTGACTGGGGGAACGGACAGGGCAGGTACAGCTGGCTCTGCCTCTAGATAGGCAGAGCCAGCTGTCACTCACGCAGCTGGGTGGATCCAGACAAAATTGTCGGGATCCGTTCCGGCTGCAGCATCTCGGTATACTGAGCTTAGGGTGCCGGGAGGACGCTAGTTTGTGTCCTCCCGTTACCCTTAGGAGAACTATGGGGAAAAGCCCTGACCCCATAGTTCTCCTTTAAAGTTCTATACTTTTGTAGTAAATAGTACATGGGTTAGAACCTCAGGTCCCTTTTGCTGTGTTACCCTGGACATACCATTGAATAATATAGAAAAAAAAAGAATTGGCTTTTGATAAACCCTTAACCTCCTGCCGTCCGCCCTTTGAGAAAAAACGGACGGACGGCAGACTCCCATTTGCGGGGTTGCCGTCTCCAGACGGCATTTTTTTCCTGCGTGCCCATTGGCAGGAAAAACCCGTACATTCAGCACAGCCGTTACCGGCTGTTTCTCATACAACCGATCGGCGGCTCTATAGCCGCCGATCGGTTGTATGGGGTGATTTGATCTGTTTTCTTTAAAGTCCCCCACCCCCACGTTTACGCACATATAAACGTAAACATGCGTTAGATGCGTCAGCGCACGAAAACGACAATTGCGTTACACATCGGCGCGAACGTCGCAGTGAGAGCAATCATTTTAGGGCCATCAATCACTGATAACACTAAACTGATGAGCGGTAAAAGCTTTTAAAGCGTCGCCTATGGCCAATTTTGGGTATTGTAGTTTGAGGTTTCGTGCATGCGCGCAATTTTAAGGCTTGACATGTTTGGTGTCTTTTTACCCGACGTGACCCCGTCTTTTATATTTTACCAAAAAATTGGGTAATAATAAATGTTTTATCATTTAATATAGGGGAAACTTTTTTAAATTTTCGGTAATTTTTCCTTAATATAGTAAAAAATAAAACCCCCAGGGGTGAATAAATACCACCAAAAGAAAGCTCTATCTGTCCCCAAAAAATGGTATAAAATGTATTTCAGTACAGCGCTGCATGACGGAATAAATGTCAGTCAAAGTAACGCAGCGCTGAATATTGAAAAATGGCCTGGATGGGAAGGGGGTTTAACACCGCGGACTTCAAGTGGTTAATTATTACATATAGCTGGATAAAGCCCTAGGAAAGGGGTAGGCAAACTTCTGACCTCCAGCTGGGGTGAAACTACAAATCCCATCACGCATCTGCCTCTGGGAATCATACCTATGGCTGTCAGTCTTGCAATGCCTCATGGGATTTGTAGTCTCACCAAAGCTGGTGGCTGAAGTTTGCCTACATTTGCCCTAGGGGCATACATATAAAGCAGTGAATCTGGCATTCAAGCAAACATTCACTGGTAGTGAGTCTTCTGGGTGCATGCATTTTAAATGACAATGATTCATCACCACCAAATAATGGTTAGTGAAAATAACATTCACTGCTTTACAAACAGAACCTTTAGTGTAGTAACAGCTGAAATCATTAGCCAATGAAAGAACAAATGAACTGAATGCGTTAAATCAGTGGTTCTCAACTTGTGTAACCTCAGAACCCTTGGTCATTAAGTCGTGAACCACATGTGCGTTCCAATGCAGAGGATCAAACTGTGGGTGGGAGATGCATTTGGGGTGCCATTCAAATGAATGTCAATGCAATGCACTTCCCGCACAAAAACGTGTGGTATGTGTGATTGCATAGTTCAGTGCGTTAATTGCAGGGGACTGTCCAGGCACCTCTACAGGGCACGTAAGGGAGCTGAAAGCAATGCATGTATGGATGGTGCTCCCTAGGCGGCCATAGCCCCAGCCCACCCCAAGCTAACACCAGGCGCTGGGCAGCATATTTTGAATAGCTGCTCGGCACGAGAACTGACAGTACCGCGTTAGGTGGAGGCTGAGGAGCCACTCGGCAACCCCCTGAACATGAGTTTGCAACCCACCAGTTGAGAACCACAGCTTTGATAATACTTGATGATGAACTCTGCTTTGCTAGACGCAGAATCGGAGTATAAGCATTTAGATGTATTCTGACTGCACACAAAAATGAGTTTTGTTTTCTAACTTGCTGAAGGCGAATGCCCAGATGGTAAGATCAGCTGCCATTACAGTGATCCATAATGTCTTGCCCATAGTATTAGGCAAGGAAACACAGAATTACTAGCGGTCATCACCACACAGCTATTTTGTTTATTTTATGTAGACTCTAGCTAGATAATCTACAGTACAAAGTCAGTAGTGTGTCAATGTAAAGTACAAAGTCTGTTTGTATATAAAAGTGAATTGTTTTAGTAACAGCCTTCAGGGGGGAAAAAAATTAACTGGGTTCCCAGTTACCCATTAAGAGAAGGAAAATAATGATATCTAAATGAAAAGCCATTTCACTTGTGCAGCAATTAAACAAGCAGACAGCCCGGGAACATTCAGAAAAAGCGATTGATACCTACACCTGCAGCTTTCCTGAGTCATTTAACATAGCAGATGGCTGCACAGCTGCAGGAGCGCTTTGCAGCGTAAGCAGGTATGAATAACCCGGCATTCAAGCAGCCTGTAGAACAGTCTCTCAGACAGCATGGCACTGCTACAAACCCCAAGGAATCCCATATTACATCATATCAGAGCTCACAGACTACCATGAGGCTGGTCCCTCTGGTACATGTCTGCACCAAACATCTGCCATTGTAATTAACCCATAGGAAGGCTTACATATTACAGGTACATTTGAAACATATGACAGCAACACTGTTTGTACAAGTGCATCAAATGTACAATTTCTGGGATTCAGATAATATCGGTTAAAGAAAAACTCCAGGAAACTCTCTCAGTAACCACTGCACGTGCGGTCACCTCGAGTACCACAGATACTTATATGATGTAAGACCATAGGAGTGCAAATGGTATTTGGAACCTACAGGGGGGGCGGGTAATGACTCGACCGTCCGGCTACCTGATTGGCCAGCTTCCCGACCAATCAGGAATCTAAGCGGCGAGTCATTACACGCTGCCCGGCTTCCTGATTGGCCGGGAAGCCAGCTCCATGCTCCCTCATCACCAGGTGAACAGGGAGCATGGAGCCAGCTTCCTGGCCAATCAGGAAACCGGCCAGCGTGTAATGACTTGCTGCCCGGCTTCCTGATAGAGGAGGTTCGGGTATAGGGCTAGGCATCCTACTCGCCAAAATACTCGGCATCGGCACCAATACCGATACTAGTATCTGTGCATCCCTAGTGTCTAGGTGCTAAAATAACAAAGATACATGTAAGAATTGTTATACATATGCCTAGGAGTTTAAAGTCTGTTTCTATACATACAAAGGCGTGTTACATTTCTGAAATCACACCGTGGCCAATTGTGACAGTAGTTCTTAAAGTGTACATATACCCAAAACCTTATTTTTGGATACAGTAGGGAAAGGGTTAAACCTTTGTCAGTTTATTTCTTGCTGTCCAAGACCGGAAGCGAGATTTCCATATACTTCCTGTCCAGGAGATACAATAGAAAGTGAGATGACAAGAACACTTCTACAAAGTGACAGGAATTCTGCTTGTACACAGTTGTCACCGGAACAGATGTCCCGACTTCAAGATTTCCCATTAAATCTTGTTCTAGCGAAGACTCTACAATTTTGGATTTCTCATCACTTACAGTCTTGGTGATAATGGTGACCAGGACTGACAGTGAGGGTGAATCTAACTAGTGGAGATCTAGATAGTAATAGAATTTCTAATCCCTTCCTATTCTTCTAAACCTAAAGAAAAAGGCTTAGGCTTTACAGACATTTTAAAACTCTTCTTTGTATAATGCTAACCATCACCTAGGGACAGTAAAAAGGGTATCCAAAAGTTAAAGGACAATTATATTCCAAGCATAAGACTTACCATCTTCAGTCTCCTGCCATACAATGCCTTCCAAGTTCACGCTGGTGCCTGGTTCGCATGGTCCAAGACATTCTGGTTCAGTGGCTAGAGCGACATCACTGGTGTTGACACCGACAGATCTTGTGCGTACCATGATCTGCTCACATGGAGAGGAGATGTCATTGTTCACCATTGGGACCAGCAGATGCAGAGGAAGCCCTGTAGCTGCACACACAGGAGACTCCATCTAAGAAAAGGAATACAAAATTGTACAGGTGAATTTGGGATAAAAAGGCAGAATAAACTGACGAAAGAAAAAAACAAAAGCATGCATGCACTTGGAGATGATGACTTGAGTCAGTGGTACATTTTATTATATACTTTGTTTACCGGTTTACAGATTTCAGCTTCACCTGGCGACCTCTAGGATTTCCCAGGCCAAATGAGAGAGATAATCCTACCTGTGCATTGAAAAATTTGATGGGAATTCTCTGTACCATCTATACAGAATGCCCAAAATGCACCAACCGCAAACTGTAAGCTATAGTCAAGAAGGGGGGGGGGGGACAAATTCACATGTCCACTCCTCAAATTTTTTTTTCCAATCCAGGAGCCAAAAAGATTGTTTTAGAAGCCAGCTCTATTAACAAAAGCTAGAGAAAACCTCAAACGTTAGGTGCCAGCTGTAATTTTTAAGGAGCATTGCCTATCTGGCCCTGAAATTTGTCCAACCTTGGTCAAGAAGAATATTCAAACTCTGGCTCATAATCAAACCCTTCAAAGATGCGTTTGTACCTTACATGCCATACATAGCTCTGCATTAGTCACATGAGCGACTCAGATTGGACACCATTTCCCTTTCTACTACTGGCATGCAGGATGGAATGCGTGGATGTCAATCATCTGAAGAAAGACCTGTGCTGCACCAAGCAACCAATTAGATTAGAGATAAAGGAAAACAATCTCACTAGTTGCTATGGTCACGGGTAGTCTTACATCTAGAGACTTTCATACATGTAGTCCAATAAGGGCACACCAGGATTATTTCCGTTATGTTACCTCCTGCAAGCCAAGCATCACCCAAAAGTAGCTGAAATGAAGAAACTTATTCACGTTTGGCAAATTGTATGGGACGCTGGTGAACAGCAGTGATTTGTCCGCAGAAAGTCGTGTCTTTGTATGTTGGGGTTAGGGTTGAAGGAGCGGGCCTCGTTCTGCACTGTTTTTGGATTTCTCATCACTTACAGTCTTGGTGATAATGGTGACCAGGACTGACAGTGAGGGTGAATCTAACTAGTGGAGATCTAGATAGTAATAGAATTTCTAATCCCTTCCTATTCTTCTAAACCTAAAGAAAAAGGCTTAGGCTTTACAGACATTTTAAAACTCTTCTTTGTATAATGCTAACCATCACCTAGGGACAGTAAAAAGGGTATCCAAAAGTTAAAGGACAATTATATTCCAAGCATAAGACTTACCATCTTCAGTCTCCTGCCATACAATGCCTTCCAAGTTCACGCTGGTGCCTGGTTCGCATGGTCCAAGACATTCTGGTTCAGTGGCTAGAGCGACATCACTGGTGTTGACACCGACAGATCTTGTGCGTACCATGATCTGCTCACATGGAGAGGAGATGTCATTGTTCACCATTGGGACCAGCAGATGCAGAGGAAGCCCTGTAGCTGCACACACAGGAGACTCCATCTAAGAAAAGGAATACAAAATTGTACAGGTGAATTTGGGATAAAAAGGCAGAATAAACTGACGAAAGAAAAAAACAAAAGCATGCATGCACTTGGAGATGATGACTTGAGTCAGTGGTACATTTTATTATATACTTTGTTTACCGGTTTACAGATTTCAGCTTCACCTGGCGACCTCTAGGATTTCCCAGGCCAAATGAGAGAGATAATCCTACCTGTGCATTGAAAAATTTGATGGGAATTCTCTGTACCATCTATACAGAATGCCCAAAATGCACCAACCGCAAACTGTGGGACAAATTATTATGTCCAATCCAGGAGCCAAAAAGATTGTTTTAGAAGCCAGCTCTATTAACAAAAGCTAGAGAAAACCTCAAACGTTAGGTGCCAGCTGTAATTTTTAAGGAGCATTGCCTATCTGGCCCTGAAATTTGTCCAACCTTGGTCAAGAAGAATATTCAAACTCTGGCTCATAATCAAACCCTTCAAAGATGCGTTTGTACCTTACATGCCATACATAGCTCTGCATTAGTCACATGAGCGACTCAGATTGGACACCATTTCCCTTTCTACTACTGGCATGCAGGATGGAATGCGTGGATGTCAATCATCTGAAGAAAGACCTGTGCTGCACCAAGCAACCAATTAGATTAGAGATAAAGGAAAACAATCTCACTAGTTGCTATGGTCACGGGTAGTCTTACATCTAGAGACTTTCATACATGTAGTCCAATAAGGGCACACCAGGATTATTTCCGTTATGTTACCTCCTGCAAGCCAAGCATCACCCAAAAGTAGCTGAAATGAAGAAACTTATTCACGTTTGGCAAATTGTATGGGACGCTGGTGAACAGCAGTGATTTGTCCGCAGAAAGTCGTGTCTTTGTATGTTGGGGTTAGGGTTGAAGGAGCGGGCCTCGTTCTGCACTGTATGCAGTGATTAAATAGGCAGGGAATGTCTCCTGGCTGAATAAGTTCATTACTATTTCACATGAAGGGGAAGAAATGAATAGTGGTGGAGCAGATATACAGGACAAATCAGTTGGCGCACAAAGGGACTTTAATTAAAGCTGCTCTGCTAATTAGCGAGCAGTCGTGATGGTAATTTGCACGACACACGGAATAATTACCAGAGCTTCTCTTTCAACTAATAACTAGGTGCCGGAGTTTAGGTTTAAACTTTCTATCGGAGAGCAAACACGAGGGACCGCAAGGGACCTCAACAACAGGTTACAAACTGAGGGCAAAGGGCAACAATGTGTTTACATTGCTCAGGAGCCAAGCAAGGCCTGGAATCACCCGCACAGCCTCATATTTTCCCAAACCCTCTTCACTGCTACAAACAGCAAAACTGAATGAAAAGGTATAGCAAGCCAAACAGCAAGCAAAGCCCATATTCTAAAACAAGCACTCATATCCAAGACAAGACTTCGGTCTACAACTCGAGGCAAACCAATGCCTTAAGGGTAACGACAACGGTGGCTGCCTTTTTCTAGGCTACACATTTAAATGTATCCTTCCATCTACTGAGGTATAAAATACCAAATAGTTACACGCTTTAAGAAAATGAAGTATGTCTGCAAGCAGGTTTCTCCCAGAGTGAAAGTGTTGAGTTTCAATTAGCGGAAACACTCTCTCCCTGGCAAGGCTCCAGCTTGCAGTCACACTTCTCTCTAGCCTTGGTGCCCCCTATCTAGCTTCATAAGGCTCAGACGTCAATTGGCAGGAGGGCTGCACTACATTCCGCGTGCTTACAATGGGCTTTCCACATAGACATGGCTGTGCAGACACCTAACAGGCATTAATGCAAAGCCCTCTACAGCACAGAAGTCTGGGCTACACATGGGATGTACTGCACTCACCTCAGCGAAAGCTTGTGTCTTTTCAGAGCTTTGCTGTGAATACTTAATGTCATGTGAATATAGGCTGTATATGTTGTCATGGAAGCCCTGTGGCCAGGAAGAGGTTAACCTGCTTTAATGCACGTCAGTAGTCTCAAGCAGCAAGGCGTTTAATGAACCAAGAGAGGTGGTAATGGTCAAAAGCTGGATGCAGCACAAAAAAAAAAAAGAAGAGCAGACTGAGGATTCAGGCGTTAAATTCGATCAATTAAATCGGCAAGCACCCACACAACTTACATAAACATAAAATGTGTACACAGCCACATTTACAGGGATATTCACATGGCAGCACGTGCACAGGAGAGGCAGCATCAGAAGCATACAGACATGTACTCACCTGACACTTCCTCCCCTTCCCCCACACACACCCCGCTACTACCAACCTCACACAGGAGCCGGCTCTCTCTCTAGCACAGGCACAAGGACAAGATGGGGAGGTATCCAATTAAGTCTTTATTTTACCATTACCTGCAGGCTGGGAGGAGACGGTGTGTGTGCCTAGAGACACTGGAAGGGGTGGCCAGTGGCCCCTTACCAACACCTACAATTACACAGGGCTTGGGAGCAATACCGCTGAGATGACAATGAGGATTGAGCACCGACTCTCCTGTTACACAGGGGGAAACAAAGGAGAAAGGGAAAAAAAAAAAAACACGAATGCAGGATTGAGGCAGAGGGAAGAGTAAAATCACTCACAGTGAAGCATATAACAGGAACAAAACATTCTGCAGAGAGAGAGCATAAACGCTGCTTATTTCCCAGTAATCAGCATGGCAACCATTCTGCCTGCTATCACACTACACATCAGCAAACTGGCCTTCAAGGTCTCTGCTGGGAGCATTTCTGCCAATCACATTCCGTTTTCTAAACCCATTCCTAACATGAATGCAATGTTTACTTAAGATCAGCCAATTAAAAAAAAAAAATCACTGCTTGCAGAGAGAAAAAAAATAAATATCCATACAATATAAAACACTCTGTATAGAGAAGTGACAGCTAATTTAAATCGGTCACTGCTATTGGCATGCTCCGATTCAGGGAGGGGTTACATTATTGATGTTTCACTGTCAATACTACAGGTCATGGCTACAGAGCAAGGCAACACGCAGCAACGTGCAAAACAATGCAGTCCTTAAAGGGGTACGGACACCAAGACCATGTAGTGTTTATAGCTATAAAATATATAGTGAAGGTCCATTCACCATATAAACATAGGACAATTAAATGCAGCCTCACAAGCCATTGACAATCACAATCTACGCATGCCCTGCTTTGTACAGAAAATGTTATATTTTAACGCAGGCTGAAATCGATATGTGTGAACTCTTATCTAGGGATGTTCAGATACCAGCGCTGATACTTGGCATTTTCACGAGATCTACCAGGGTTGCAGCTGGGACCTGGCTCTGGCGCTCCTCCACTGTCCTGAAATCATTAGTCTGTATTGTTTTAGAAAAACGGTCACATGACAATAAACAAAAATGTATCAGTACTTGTATCTGTGAGGACTTGGGCAAGTATCAGTGCTTGTACTTGGAAAAATGATAATGGTGAATCGAATAAAAAAAATTAAGTAAACACCATCCTTATTTATAATAAAATACACGAATGCAGAGTTACAAACACAAAGTTTACTTCAGAATAAAACTGCATGCACAATTCTATGCAATCGCACTGCACTGGAACGCACAGCATTGCGGTACAGTGTGCTCCAGTGTGGGCGACCATGCTGTGGGTGGGAGGTGCGTTTAGGGTGACATTAAAATGAATAGCACTGAAACGCACCTCCTGCAGCAGAATTTGTCAGGTAGGACACTGAAAATGACTTTTTCCCACCTTTTACAATTTTTTTTTTTTTTAATAACTGTATTGTAAGCACATGGCGCTTGAATAGCTTCAGCCAAGTAATGACAGCTGCCAGTGACAAGATTCTGCAGACTGCAGCTGAATGTAAATACAGCAGGTAGTGGGCTGGTGCAACAGCCAGCCTGCTATTGGCCATTTCAAATTGCAATACCCAATAGCAGGCTGCTTGCTGTGCCCTCCTCCCAGCGTGAAGGAGAGCGTTAGGGGATCCAACACGCCAATGCTTGCTGTGCCCACGTCCCAGCGTGGAGAAGAGCGCTAGGGGATCCAACCCACCCACTGCTTGCTGTGCCCTGCTCCCAGCATGGCGGAGAGAGCGCTAGGGGATCCAACCCACCCACTGCTTGCTGTGCACTCCTCCCAGCATGGCGGAGAGCGCTAGGGGATTCAACCCACCCACTGCTTGCTGTGCCATGCTCCCAGCATGGAGGAGAGCAGTAGGGGATCCAACCCACCCACTGCTTGCTGTGCCCTGCTCCCAGCATGGAGGAGAGCAGTAGGGGATCCAAACCACCCACTGCTTGCTGTGCACTCCTCCCAGCATGGAGGAGAGCGGTAGGGGGTCCAACCCACCCACTGTTTGCTGTGTTGTCCTCCCAGCATGGAGGAGAGAGCTAGGGGATGCAACCTGCCCACTCCTTGCTGTGCCCTCCTCCCAGCATGGAGGAGAGAGCTAGGGAATCCAACCTGCCCACTCCTTGCTGTGCCCTCCTCCCAGCATGGAGGAGAGAGCTAGGGAATCCAACCTGCCCACTCCTTGCTGTGCCCTCCTCCCAGCGTGGAGGAGAGCGGTAGTGGATCCAACCCACCCTCTGCTTGCTCTGTCGTCCTACCAACGTGGAGGAGTGAGCTAGGGTATCCAACCAACTAATCCATAATGAGAATAGCTGACAACTATTCTCATAATCAATTAGTTGGTTGCAGCCCCAGATGACAGGTTAGCTATGTGCTACTTCCACATCACCCCAACTGGATCATGAGGCTACCCCATCATAGCTATGGGCCAATAAGGTGCTGGTGGAAAACCAAATAAGCTTCTCACAGTCTGGAATTGCCATAACAGGCATCACTGCATATCTATCACATATGGCCTCATATTCACCAATCTGTCTGTGTATGAGCACCCTAAAACCAGCTTTGAACACTCCCACAAGAGGGTACTGTCATGTCACATCAAATATCTTCTAATGCCGGCCATTCACTTTTAGGAGTCTGATTCCATCATCCAGAGTAA